AAGAGATGCAGAACAGCAGACAGATTTTCTTGGTAATTTGTGGGTGCTTCATAGATGCAACAAACTAGCACTCTGATGGACCCACCCAGCCAAACTTGGATCTGCAGTTTCACTTTCAGCAACCAGCGTAGCTCAATCTTTCATTTCAACCACCATTTAAATTCTCGTGAGCAACTCCCAAATACATCTACATTCATATTTTCGCATCCTATGCACTTGCTGGGTGAAAAGCACTGTTAAAAAATAATTTCACATGTACAGCTACGAATGGTGTTCCATACTATTCTTGTGAAATAGATAAGATGCTGATTGTCAAAATGGCTAAAAAGTCTAGAAAAGCGAAGGGCTAAGAGTAAAGTAGCAAAGATGCTCAGAACAAAATAGTTCCAGTTTTCAACTCATATTTTTATAATAGATGGGATACAAATTGCAAACATACTTCAATGAGTTAGAAACCTAGCCTGCACTATAGATAAAACCTTTTTATAAGTATGTGGTAAACCTCAACTGTTGGGAGAAAAGAAAAAAAAATACTGCATTTTTCCCAACCTGACAGATATTCTGGCTCCTTCTAAAGTTAAATATATTTTATGTTTTCAGTATATTAGCTATTGTTAACTAGTATACACCATTTTTATATGGCTACACTGCACAATAAAGTAAAAAAACATGTAGCTGCCCCAAAAGTCCAAGCATTATATAAATGAAGAAATTGTAATTATTTTCCTGATTTTTTCATGAAATTAGGATTGCTAAAAGCATTCCATGTACTATCATAATTACCAGTAATAACATACAAACTAATGCATTCCTCAAATTTTCAGTCCATTACTTGCAGATTTGTCATTTGTTACTTCTATCTCACAATAAGAAGTTAAATATTTTTATACTTAAAGCAAGAATTTATCATTACAAACACAGCAATTACTGAACCTCCTATAAGCCAAAGGTAAAGAATGGTGTTTCTTTTAAGTGAGGTCTCAAAGATACCTGGTGACCTTCAACATTCATAGTGACTACTATGCATCACACTAACTGGAAGAGAAATTTCGTGGTTTACCGACTACTTTAATAAAGCCTAAAATGCTGTATCTACAAAATACCCAAATATGCAAACAAAACCTCCTAATATTCCTCAAAATCCAGACAACTCATATTTCTTACTGAGCAGTTTAAAAGTCATGCAAATTACAACAGACCTTTTACTACGATTTGGGGAACAAAACTGTTGTTCTGTTCATGTAAGATAGTGAGTAAACATAGCATGCATTCCTAACTACATGAGTTACTCAGATCATAAAGACTGTGCCAGACAGAATTAGTGACACGAGGTCTTATCCCACCTCTCTGACATCCACGGAAACCTCAACACTGCTCCTATTCCAGCCAATAAAACTGAACGAGCTTAAGAGAAGCTACCAGCTTTAGTACTGCAAAAGGACTGCCAACCTTCCTTTGAACAGTAAGTAAGAGAACATGGGAAAGAAACAGGCTCATACTTGAGCTTTGCCACATTAAAGAAAAAAAAAAAAAAAAAAACCAGAAAAGCTCAAACCCACACAACACACAGTGCAGTATTCTCAGACCACTGTCAACTGGCACACAAAGAAAAAGCTGGAGAGCTGCCCGGTGGAAAGGACCTGGGGGTGCTGGTCAACAGCCGGCTGAACATGAGCCGGCAGTGTGCCCAGGTGGCCAAGAAGGCCAACAGCAGCCTGGCCTGTATCAGAACTAGTGTGGCCAGCAGGAGTAGGGAAGTGATGGTGCCCCTGTACTCGGCACTGGTGAGGCCGCACCTCGAATCCTGTGTTCAGTTTTGGGGCCCTCACTACAAGAAGGATGTTGAGGTGCTGGAGCGTGTCCAGAGAAGGGCAACGAAGCTGGTGAGGGGCTTGGAGAACAAGTCTTACGAGGAGCAGCTGAGGGAACTGGGGTGTTCAGTCTGGAGAAGAGGAGGCTGAGGGGAGACCTTATCGCTCTCTACAACTACCTGAAAGGGGGTTGTGGTGAGGTGAGTGTTGGCCTCTTCTCCCAGGTAACAAGCAATAGGACAAGAGGAAACGGCCTCAAGTTGTGCCAGGGGAGGTTTACATTGGATATTAGGAAAAATTTCTTCACAGAAGGGGTTGTCAAGCATTGGAACAGGCTGCTCAAGGATGTGGTTAAGTTACCATCCCTGGAGGTATTTAAAAGACATGTAGATGTGGTGCTTACAGATGTGGTTTAACGGTAGACTTGGCAGTGTTAGGTTTATGGTTGAACTCAATGATCTTAAAGGTCTTTTCCAACCTAAATGATTCTATGATTCTATGTTTACTGGTCTGATTCAAGTTGCATACAAATATGGACCAGCCACAGACCAGAGAAGATTTCAAGGGGCAGGGTTAATTTGTTACCCACTTAACTGAATACCAAAAGGGTCAAGTTTAATAACATGATGAATAAATTTGCTACCAGATAATTGTTATGTATTTATCTTGGCATAATAAAAATAAAATTATTTTCTATCTACCCTCAAATCCTCTTGCTTACATACCTGGAATATATATAGAATTTTCATAAGCATCAAACAAATGCATTCTCTATAGCTACATCTGTCAAGTAAGCTTCCACTAACAAGAAGCAATTTATTTAAGGGCCTCATTAGCAAAACTCTTCCCTTTACCCTGGCTGTCCCTCAAAATAACCTATCCCATGCACATGTATCCCTAGCACAGCTGAACTATTTTTAGTGTATTTAAGTATTTTTAATATTTTTTCTGTATTTTAGTGTATAGCACTGTTACTGACCGAACATAAGCTTTTATTCATATTCATTTTTCCCTGAAACTATCTTTTAATTGTCTTTAAAGAGCCAAACCAGAAAGTATCATAAAAAAAATACTGAAAATGTTGTATTTAAAATAATTTTAAACATGTCTTCATAAAAATATATATGAAATAATTATTTTTAATTTGGCACATTATGTTACAATGAATGGGTCAGTCGTTATTCTCTGTATAAAAACCAGAAAGTTATAAGAGGAAGCTGAGTGTGTCTTCATAATACAAAAGCAACGTAGAGCAAAGAGGAAAATAATCCAGGTTATCTACTGTGCAAGAAAGAAAGCCTTTGCAGAAACAAACAAAACAGAAGTCTACCTGTTGAAGGTCCAATGTAATGGTCACATAATGATATTCAATTCCATTCTGGATACTAGGGCTTTGCCACCAAGTGTTCTTGCCATCAATTGCATTTGTTATTGGATGTCGTTCTGTTGGAACAGCAGAAATATAAAAATATATTTCAAAATTATTAGGACATTTAAATGTTTTAAGGTCTAAAATCTAAATTTTAATACAATTACAGAAATAATGAGGCAGCACTTTTAAATAAAAAAAAAACAGGAAATTAAATTTTCTGCTACTCTTAAGGCACAGTCATGCTTATTATTGCTGGAATACTCATCTAATATTAGTTGTTCAGTTTTGGTTAGGGTCACAAGAAGGTGGTTCAGAACATGTAAATGCAGCTGGTGGCTGTCCTGATTCTAAAGAAAATGTAGGCATCTAAATCAAGCACATAATTCCTGCAGTCTTCCAAAGTTCCAAGTACTGTAAAGTCATTAAATGTTGCAACAGAAACAACAAATCAAGAACCTGAGATACAGTGTGCAAGGAAAGCACAGCTTAAAGTAATACTGGTACTTGCATTTCTAAGACATTTCTAAGCACACGTGGAAATAATTCAGGAAATAATTCAGAATTCATTAGAGAGGAAATGATTCAGAAATCATTACAGAACATATTTCTCAATGGGAAAATTGTCTGACTCACATACATGCATACAAAGAAGCTTTGCTTGGTTATAATCCATATCAAAGTCCAAGATGCATTACTTTTCATATCTACATTTATTCTGCTGCAGTGTCGCAAATGAATCCCAAATAATAGGTATAAGAATTTATTTACAGAATTGAATTCTTCACAGATTTCAAGTCCTTCTAAATTATTGAAGTTTGCTTACACAGTATTTTAATGTTATTTAAACTGAGAAAAATTGCACTTAACATTTCCAGGTTAATTTTTGTGGTCAATTCATATTTCTCTCCCATACAAAATGGAGAACAACATAATCTCAATTTTAAAAGGTACATTTATATTTTGAAGTCCCTAATTACCTAAAGCAAGTCTGTACATCATGGGGAAAATAACCCAAATTCAAATACAGTATGTTTCTTCTATGCAAGCTCTGTCTGCAAGAACGTAACAAGACAGTAGAAATCCTACCCCTCTTATTAAGGACGGCTTTCTAAACTGACAAGTTTTCTTGATATAAAACTGGAACATGCTTCATTACTAGCTAGTCATAGAACTGCAAATAATTAATTCATGAACCAATTAATTTACTTGTTATTTTAGTTATTACTTAAATCAACCAGCCAGATTGACATTCTTCGTGTCTCTGTATTTTGCTACATCAACCAGCTGTGGAGGACAGGAGTCCTAGCTCATTAAGGAAAGCCAGAATGCCTGAGCATATTTAAAGATACAATTAAAGTGCTTTGTGGGAGTGAAGAAAGGCATAAGCCCTCAAAATTGAAAATGCTAAAAATTTAATTTAAATATCAGATTATTCAGTGGCATTAGTGGGCACCAACATTTGCAAGTTAGAATACTGGTGCTGCAAGTAATATTACTAGCAAATTTATCTTTATGTTGAAAATCAAAACATACCCATGCTTTATATGTTGCCAGTTCCTACAGCTCTGATAATTTTTACAAAACTTTTTTACTAACCAATTTTACAAACTTTAAATGAGTGCTAGCAAAAATCACCTGTAAATCGAAGTCAGAGCTCCTCGGTGACTGTAACAGAAGCTGTCTAATTGGAAATTTTGATGTTAAGTCTCTTCAGGTGAAATTGATATAAAGGTAAATCATGAGAAGTAGCGTTGGGAGATGAAACAAAAATTAAGTGTAATCACCATTTTGAAAGTTTAATCATAATTAATTTGAAAGCCCTGATTAATTGCTGGCATGTTTTCCCTATTTTAAAGGTAAGGGGAAAATAATACAATATTTGTAAAAAGGATTGGATTGCAAATGCAGTTCAAGGACCAATCTCTCTGATAGATGGAAAGGGGAAGAACTTACAGAGTGAGCCCATCAAACAGTGCTCTTTAATTTAGGCTCACATGTGATTAACCAGGGAATTTGTGTTCATTTCCTACTACAGTAATTAAGGGGAGGCACTCCAGACTCGCACATTCCAGGGGGATCATTTAAAGTCTGGTTACATTACATGGTTCTCCTGTTAATGAGCCCTCTCTGTTTAAATAAGGCATTTCCTTCTGCCAAATGAACATTTAAAAACCTTAAAATGAGATGTGGTTGGCAACAAAAGACCAAGCTGGGAAGATTCAAGTTTTTAAGAGGGTAGGAGTGAGGGGAAACACAGATATAAATCATTCAGATGGGGTTTATATATATATATATTTACACACACACACACATTAGTGTATGCTCTCTGATATCACAGGCAGGTCATAGGAACAAAGCAATCCAGCTCTGTTATAGGTTTGTTTTTTTAATTAAACAAACCTGATATAGAAAAACCTTGTGTGATGTGCATGCGTCTCTAAATACCCATCCATAAAGAAAGGAAAGAAGCTATTGCACAGTGTTTCTGCCAGCCGGAATGGTTCCAAAAACCTATGAAATCTTCTCTGACTGAGGCACACTACTATAGTATAACGTATCTGAATGCTTATATTGCTACAAAATTGTATGACCTTTCCTCAGAAGGCGACATTTACTACAATTAAAGAAGACGTTGAAACTTTGGAAAAATATCTCAGGGAAAAAAACAGGTTGCAACTGTGTTCAGACAAATGAAATAGTCTATACTGGGGCAACTATAATTAGCTTTGCAAATACAAGATGGGGAGCAAATGGATAGGTAGCCATTTAGCAGGAAAACATCTGGGGATTATAATGGACAACTAGCTATATATCTCTCAGTGGTGTCACACCATTAAAAAGGGGAAATATCTAAGTAAAACACGTAAACAGGAATATATTCTGTTCATTCTGAAAGAAACCTGCATCTCTGTGCAGTGCTGGTAAGAGTCCAGGTGCATTTTAATACAGATGAAAACCTCTAGAGAGAATTCAGAGAACTGCAATTTGCACAGCTAGAGTTGTAGAAAATACAACTTATGACGAGAATGAAAGAAAAGAGATAGTTTAGTGTAGAAACTAGATAAAGAAATACCATCAACCCTCAATTATACTTTTTTTACAAAAGTAAAATACTTCTGTAAAGAAAAAGGGAATAATCCATTCCTTGCATTGACTGAAGTTAGGAAAAAGGTAACATGGATTTCCGCAAGGAAGATGCAGATTAGCTATTTAGGAAAAGACTTTGGAATGAGTAAAATAACTCTAGGAAGTGTGGCCCTGGAAAGAAGTTTCTAAGAATTTAAACAAGGTTCTGTCTGGAAAGCTACAGACATAGATATGTCATCTTGTCTAGAACTAGTAGACAGATCTTCTTTTTTCCCTGTGGTTTTAAGCACATGCTTAAATGTGCTTTCTCATGAGGTGTAAATATATCTGAGCTAGGTTTTAGAGGGAAACAACCAGAAAAAAAGAGAAACTGTCTCCATGCTTCTGTGGCTGTGCTTCTTCCAACATTTTGTCTATTCCATTAAAAGCTGTCTTAAGTGTCTCTACACCCCCTACCATATACAGTACCAATACACTCACAAAAATCTAACAGTGCTAATGCTATTCATGTCTTTCACTGCAAGGTCACATGAAATTAAACTTGTATGACTTGAGTAAGAAATTTTCTTAGTTCTAATCTTCCCAAGTATTAGAAATATGCAACTCTGAAGCAGATGATAACAAATTTATACTTGAAAACTGATTTTGCTTCTGGGTAGTCTTTAAGAAAGCAGTGTTAGCAAAGATCAACTTTAATTGGAAAAACTAAGCAATTAAACCAAGCAGTGCTCCATTATCTTATCTTCTTTTTGCTGGCTCAGTGAAGCCGAATTAACATCAAACAAAGAAGAAAAACATCCCAGAACACAATAAAATAAAACTGGATTTGGCCCTAAACTGAAATTTCAGATGTTGCTTAGTGTGGTGGTTTGACCCTGGCTGGACACCAGGTACCCACCAAAGCTGCTCTATCACTCTCCTCCCAGGACAGGGGAAAGTATAACAAGAAGCTTGTGGGTCAAGATAAGGACAGGAATAGATCACTCACCAATGACCGTCAACAGACTCAACTTGGGGAAAAATTAATTTAATTTATTATGAATCAAATCAGAGTAGGGTAATGAGAAATAAAAACCAAATCTTAAAACACCTTCCCCCCACCCCTTCTTACTTCCTGGCATTAACTTTACTCCCAAATTCTCTAACTGATCCCCGCCAGCAGCACAGGGGGACGGGGAATGGGGATTGCGGTCAGCTCATCACACGTTGTCTCTGCTGCTCCTTCCTCCTCAGGGGGAGGACTCCTCACACTCTTCCCGTGCTCCAGCATGGGGTCCCTCCCACGGGAAACAGTTCTCCACAAACTTCTCCAACATGAGTCCTTCCCACAGGTTGTAGTTCTTCATGAACTGCTCCAGCATGGGTCCTTTCCACAGAGTCACAATTCCTACCAGCAAGACTCCTCTCTCCACGGGTCCACAGGTCCTGCCAGGAGCCTGCTCCAGCATGGGCTTCCCATGGGGTCACAGCCTCCTTCAGGTGCATCCACCTGCTCCAGCATGAGGTTCTCCATGGGCTGCAGGTGGAGATCTGTTCCAGCGTGGAGCTCCGCTCCAGCGTGGAGCTCCGTGGGCTGCAGGGTGACAGCCTGCCTCACCATGGTCTTCCTCATGGGCTGCAGGTGAATCTCTGCTCCAGTGCCTGGAGCACCTCTTGCCCCTCCTTCTGCACTGACCTTGGTGTCTGCAGAGCTGTTCCACATATTCTCACTCCTCTCCTCTGACTGCTGCTGGTGTTGTTGGCACCTTCTTAACTACGTGATCCCAGAGGTGCTACCACTGTCGCTGATGGGCTCGGCCTTGGCCAGTGGTGGGTCCATCTTGGAGCTGGCTGGCATTGGCTCTATTGGACATAGGGGAAGCTTCTAGCAGCTTCTCACAGAAGCCACCCCTGCAGCCCCCCTGCTACCAAAACCTTGCCACACAAACCCAATACACTTAGGCCAAAATTTTCAAATTCCTTGTGTAGGTATGCAGGTAAAGGTCATCTAGTTTTCACTCATGGTCAGTATATATCAAGAGAATTCAATAACAGCAGCAGGTACTTAATTTTCCTAAAGCTGAATTTAGGAGCTCCACTTTAAGTATCTGAATTAGAAAGTTCAGTTTGAGGAGTATACATAACAGATAGAGGTTTTGAAATACCAGTGGAAGAGATGGATAACTTAATTTAAAAAGACAGACAGACATTTCATAGTAATCGGGCCAATGACCTACAGTTTTGTTTGCAAAGTATATACAACCTTCGGAAAAAAAGTCTTTTTAAAGGAATAAAATGAAAGCAGCACACGTACGATGTGGAACCCTGCTCCTTTGATCACAAATACGGCACTGAGGGTTCCTTGCAGGCTGTCCAGGTACATGTTCAACAAGTTTGCAGTACATTTCCCGACCCTTTTCTCCACAGGTAGCATTGGTTGTGATGAGAGCATTAGTAGCCAAGTTCAGCACTGCGGGAAACAACCCTGCAAATAAAATAAAATAAAATCATAAACAAAAGCAACAGAGGCAAGCGCAAGGTGAATTTAGCAGGACAATCGTAAATGAACATAACACCTGTTACAGCATTAAAGCCAAAGACTTGGTTTTCAACAACTATGGAAGTAATGAAGCACAGAAAAGCACCAACAACTTTGGTTTTGAATCCAGAATTTACACATCAGAATAAAGCCCTCTTAGTGATGGTTTCCTCCTCATTCCCTCCTAAAATTCAAATTGGTGCCCTCTGGTTATATCTTGAACGACAGCAGGACACCAAAGGAGAAAGTAAACTATGGAAACATACAAAGCATCATAAAATATACTTTTTCGTAACTGAACCTTGTGTTCCTACCCAACTGGACACTGAAACATTGTATGTGAATGACCTATGAAAACTCTTTATTAATCTTCTTTTCTGCTTACATCTCCATGGGAAAGTGTTTCCGTCACAGACTGCATCACTTGTATTACACTATATTACTGTTCCGCTTAGGACCTCATAGTCACCCTTGTCATCAGAGGAGCTGAGTATTTCATGTGACAACATGGACAGCATCTGTCATGTATGGCTTCCCTTTCTTCACGAACAGGATAATATATATAACATTATAACTTTTATGGCAGTACTGTTATTTTTTTCACATGCACATGCTGAGTGATGTATTATAATTCTCAATGAGAACAGCACTTGAGCACACGTCTGAGTGCTCTGCTGAACCGAGTTCTATGTATAGCGGTAAGCTATAAAGATTATAAACACATAAAGAACAATCCATAAGATGGGTTACTCTCCTTCCCACTAAATACTGATCAAAACCTTTGAGCCGTGATAAAATTGAGCCATGGAGAGGAAGTGATATGGTATGTTGAATGTATACATTAGCCCCTCACATTAAATCAACCAGTTTTGCATCCTCAAAAGCATAACTTGCCATGGCTGCAGGTTAAACCAAAACAACAACAACAAAATTTGACGTGTGGATTGGGATCATCTTCAGATTTATTTGATGACAATTTCCACTGGTCCCAAACCCACCCTTCTGCAATTCATTCAGCTTCTAACCCTATTGTATTATTATAACTTTAAAATAAGGCTTGAATCAAAACCGACTCTGCAATTATTTTACACTGATAAAGCTCCCTTTATAATGACTTTCCTTTTCCTCCTTTGCAGATGGACAACACTATTCAACTGACTCCTTTCACTCCTTTAACTTAAATCTCCTTCTTGTCTCTGCAATTAACCTGTATGCCATTTCATTACCAAGCTTGGATGGTCATGGCACAGCTGTCTTCTGATTTTGCGACTCAGTGACTCTCACTTTAAAACCCTGTTAAACATAATGCTTGAGCAAGACAACCATTAGTTACTAACCTGTCCAATTTGCATAGTCAATCAATAGCTGAAATTTTATTGATTGTGTAGCTTGCTTCTCCTGTACAGATTACAGCTCATTTTCATCACATTTTCAAATCTACACAGTCGTTCTTGTATTTTTATTCAATGTATTTAGTGATATTTGCTGCCTTCTACAATGGGGGCACCAGGTAAAATCTGTGTAAGCATTAGCAGAATAGATGAATGAATAGCTGTGGAACTTCCTATGTTGACTTACAGCATCATTATTCTCTTCTTAGGCTGTACAAAGTTAATAGTGTAAAAGCCAGTAATCATTTAGTCTTAACACAGCATCTGGCATTTGATTTGGAGTTAAGTATTTTACTCCCTCAAAAGTGAACATCATAAAAAGGACAGAATGATCCTACATGCAAGAAATTGCAGTATATGGCATCAGAAGAATAAATCCTTCAAAAAACAGTGGAACAGCTGCAAAAGAGCAGCCAAAAAGCCTCCAGAATTACACAGCTATAAAAACATTACACATTATATGTCTATACACATATCAGACCATTGTTCCAAGTTTTAACTCAAATTTTAAATGTAAGAGACATAAGCAAATGCAGAGTACTTAAGGAACTCATCAATTAGAACACAAATTCACTCTCAGATAGCCTCTTTTATATACAGTGCGGCTTAGGGCGAAACTACACACACAGCCTTGCCCATACTGAGTACAAAAACAGACACCAAAACAAGTATTGGGTGTTTCACTGAAAAAACCATGTCAAGATCCGGTGCCTCAGTGCAGTGCATCATACCGCATTCCCTGCAGGCCCACAGGGGTGGATCTGATAGGCAGAGAGCAAGAGATGCACAAAGTGCTCCACACTGCACCCAGCGCTTCTCATATGGTATCGATTAATTCCCCAGCCCTGGAATTTTAACAAGTTAAAAATTACAATTAACAACTACGTATTTGATTTTTTAAAAAATAATCTTTGTTTGAAAGGAGCAGGGCATTGGACTCAACGGTCCTCATGGGTCCCTTCCAACTCAAGATATTCTGTGATCCTATGATACTGCTTTGTATAGTCCAAAATAAGGCTTTTCTTTTAAATCACATTTGATGTGCAAGCCTGATGGAATTGAAGAAATAGTACTATTCATATTGCTTTCTAGCAATTAATATATATAGTACTTTCAGAACATAGGCAAGAGATTCTAGCAATACAGAAGATGAAAGCATAGTCTTGAATCCTTTAGTTAAGTCCTTTGAATCTTTCTAAGATTCCCATCTATCCAACCATAAATCCCCAGGAAAAAGGCAAGAGAGCTCAAGACACCACAGTTCATTTTTTAAGAGAATTTTGCCTTATTTTTCATTATGATAATCATACAGAAGAAATATTTTTAAATTGGTGTCCTAGTTTTGTGCACCTTAAAATTCAATTTCTCACTAAATTATAAAGTTTATTTAGCTACCAGTTCCACCTTGAATTCTATGGGCATTCTGCTATGAAATACTTCCAAAAATATGGTCTGTTATAATTACAGACAGCTATTCTTTCTCTTTTGCCAAATACCTTTAGTAATCATTTGCTCCAGTGCAAAGACCAGGTAAAATGCTCTGAGTCAGAAACACATTACAGCTATTTCGTGTAGCTCAAGTGCAGGCAGAGAAATTCTACTCCCTTCAACTGCCAGCTACATCAATCTCTTCCCTCCTTTGTGTCACCTGCAAAAAGCAGATTAGCATTCATTTCTACCTGTAAAAAATACCAGAATTCTGGCAATTGCATGGAGGAAATAAGTAGAAAAATTGGCTTGTAATTAGGCAATGGTTTTAGCAGCTTGTGTTCAATTTCTGGTTTTCAACAGACTTCTGTTGCATGAAGAGAAAAACAGAGTCTCAGATTCTCACCTATGAAATGGGCATGGTCTTCTTTCTGCTTTCGACTTTGGTTTTTAAGGATGGAACATATTCCATGGAGCTTTTAAAGCATGGAAGCCCGATAGACAGTTTGTTTAGTGTTGACAGGTGATTAAAGTATAATAGGAGTATAACACAAAAACTAATCAAGTTCTTTAAAGTGGTGTACCATGCAAGGGCAATCAAGAAAGCTGCTCAACTCTCTACAGAATTAGCAGTGATAAGATTAGCACATATTGTCAAGAGAAACAGTTTTAGAATGAAACTGGTAAAAATGAAAAGCAGCAAATAGGCAGGAATAGCTGATTTTTGCCTACAAACTCCAAATGTACTCAAGTTTCACACTGCCACTGTTCTAGTTACGTAGGGTATGGTACCAAACTCTTAACTACATTATCAGTTTTTTAAATTATTCCTGGATAAAAGCAGACATGAATATCTATCTTAAAGACGAAAATAGTGGATGCTTGGGATCAGTGGTTTTTTACAGAGGCCTCATGAATCATAGCTTATGAATACTAGAGTTCTTTGTAGACGTTGGCAAGCATGTAGGTATGAGTGATTCACTGAGTTCAACATATTTAGATTAACAAACAGATTTTGACAAGATTCTGCAAAGGCCATTAAAGGAACTAAGCTATCATGACATACGGAGGAGGGACCTCTCGAGATAACTGCAACAACAAAAAAGGAAAATGGGAAATAACACTGGAAAACCACAGCAATCTTTGCTGAATCCTGTTCTGTTCAACAGTTACATAAATAGCTTAGAAAAGAGGATAAAAAGTAAGGCAACAGTTTATTGATGATAGAAATTATTCAGGATAATCAAAATAAGGAAAAACCACCAAGAGTGGTTGAAAAACTTCATAGTATCATGTGTCTAGGCAATAAAATGGCAGATGAAATCAAGGAATGGAAATTAATACACAGGGGGAAAACATGATACATTCTGCACTAGCTATTATCACCCCTGAAAGAGTTATAGATATTTGAATGAAAATACCAGCTCAAGGAATAGAAACAAAATGTCATCACATTATCACATAAATCCATCCGTAATAACTACTCAAATACTGTATGGTATTCCTTATGTCTCATCCCCTAAAGGACATGGTAGAACCAAAAAAGGTAAAGAAAAATATGACAAGATCACAGCTGTGGATTAACTTCTAAATGTGGACATTAATAGGCTATGAGTCTTCTATTGGGAAAATAACTGAATGGGAGATGTATAAAATGGCAATAGACGCATATAAAATCATAGATGGGTGTAACAAGTGAACAACTGGAAGTAAACATGGTAAGTTTAGTTACTCTTCTACCACAAATTGGGGGTGCTGAGTCAAATGATCATAAAAATGTTTTCTTCATTGATTGGGATTCTTTTGTCTCTTTATAAATGGAACTGTTTTTCAGTATGATAGAAATAAAATTCTAGAAAACATTAATAAATTCTATAATAAAATTAGGAATGGATTAAAAAACAATTAGATTAATACATAGAACAAGGGTTCATCTGGGGCTGTTAAACATGAAGGGCTTGGTATTCAACTGTCAGATCAGAATATACCTAAATCACTGGCTGGTGCAGGGTTTTATCCAGGGAGGCATCACTGTACTCATTCTCTTCTTTCACATTTTTCCTCAGTGTTGCTTCTAATACATACCTGTAGTTGTTTCTTACTAATGCTGGTAGCACATATAGCCCA